TCCTGTTCTCGTTCCTCTGGGAGAGTGAGTCATGCGCAGCAGACTATGCCCGAGACTCTGCGCTGTCAGAGCTTGCTGCTCTGAGGCGGACGAGACGTGCCTGGCAGCGCAGCTCTCCTGCTCGCAGTCCACGTCCCAGCGCGTGTGCTCTCTGAGGGGACACTGCGGGTCTGCACCGTCGTCAAGTCAGAGGGAAAGCCTTTGTGATGAATGCGGCACGCGTGTGTGTCCGTTTGGTACTGTAGCGTCTGTTAGCGATCCACATTGTGAACGCTGACTCAGGTGAGCTTCATGGAATGGGAAAAGCAGGTAAATCTCTCTTTTTAAAAAATACTGTTTTATTATTGATTTCAGAGAGGAAGGGAGAGGGAGAGAGAGATAGAACATCAATAATGAGAATCATGGATCCGCTGCCTCCTGCACGCCCCCTACTGGGGACTGAGCCCGAAACCCGGGCCTGTGCCCTCACCGGGAATCGAACCTGGACCTCCTGGTTCGTAGGTCGATACTCAACCTCTGAGCCACGCCAGCTGGGCGAATCTCGCTCTTTTGACGCCAAATCGAATCCCAGTTCTACTGGCTGTGACCTGGAGCAAGTCCACGCGCTGTGGCGGCGCTCCGTGTCCTCCCGGCGTTTGGGCCTGGCGCCTGCCCCCCTCACCTGGCCAGGCTGCGAGGCCCCGTGCCAGGGAGGGTCGGTCACGGGTCTTCACTCACCGCTGTCTTCTCCCGCTTTCCCTGGCAGTTTCCTTACGCCGCCCCACCTCCCCAGGAGCCAGTGAAGACGCTGAGAAGCCTGGTCAACATCCGCAAGGATACACTGCGGCTCGTCAAGTAAGTCCGCAGGTCCCAGCGCTCCATGGGGTCAGGGCCAGGGCCCCCTGCGGGCAGCCCGCCCCGCAGAGCCGCGCAGAGCAGGGGTGCCGGCCCCAGAGCCTGACCCGCTCCTGCTTAGGTCGGGCTCTGCATCAAGACTGTTCGGCTTCACCTCGTCGTCCGTGAGGGCGAGCCCTGCCCCTTCCCTGGCAGCCGCCATGCAGCTGAATTTCTTTTAAAAGAAGAATTATTGGGAGAGAGAGTGAATCTTGCAGAGACCTCCACAAGCCTGTGTAAAGAGGAGCTATTTGAACTTGGAATAGGAAGTCCGTATTCATTGATTATATTTACTTTTAAATTTATTCTTAACCTCATACACCCAGAGTGCCCGGGTCGGCTGCTTCCGGCCCATCATTATTAATTGTCCCTGATCTGCCTTCTCTCTGCTGTCCCTGAGACAGTGTCAGTCGTTTTGTGTTTTTTTTAAAAATATATTTTTATTGATTTCAGAGCGGAAGGGAGAGGGAGAGAGAGATAGAAACATCAATGATGAGAGAGAATCATGGACTGGCTGCCTCCTGCACGTCCCCTACTGGGGATCGAGCCCACAACCTGGGCATGTGCCCTTGACCGGAATTCGACCCTTCAGTCCACAGGCTGGCGCTCTATCCACTGAGCCACACCGGTGAGGGCTTCAGGGTCGGTTTTAAGCAGATGCTGCCTCTGCTAAGGCTCGAGCTCCCCGGGGGAAAGATAGGTTTGAAGAGGCGGAACGGGGAGTGGAAACTATGTCAACTATGTGACTAGAACCTTCGATTCCGATGAAAAGTAAACATAGATGAAGTCGGGCAAAGGCGCAAGGACGCTGGCTGTCGAGTCGTGAAGTATCAGCGACACCGCCCGCCCGGCGGCAGTGACGTCCTCCGCCGTCATCCCCGAGGAGGGCGGAGGGCGGGGCTGAGGACCGCAGAGCAGCCCACAGTATGTTAAGGTTTTGAAAAAGGGATACAGTTTAAATGCTGGCTTGCTGCCCGCCAAACGCTGAGGCCCGGTGCTTGCAGGTGCGCCGAGGAGGTGAAGACCCCGGGGGCCGAGGCCGGCAGAGCCAAAGTCCACTACAACGTGGAGTTCACCTTCGACACCGACGCCCGCGTGGCCATCACCATCTACTACCAGGCCACCGAGGAGTTCCAGAACGGCATCGCCAGGTACGGACGGACCGGGGGCCGCCTCCTCCCGGCCAGCTCAGGGCCCGTGCCTCGTGCGCTCACAGGCGAGATCTGGCTCTAGAACGTGGACTTTCTTCTGCAGACCCTACTTCTTCTTTTTTTTTTTAAAAAAAAATATTTTTATTGATTTTTAAAGAGGAAGGGAGAGGGATAGAGAGATAGAAACATCCATGATGAGAGAGAATCATTGATCAGCTGCCTCCTGCACACCCCCTACTGGGGATCGAGCCCGCAACCGAGGCATGTGCCCTTGGTCGGAATCGAACCTGGGACCCTTCAGTCTGTAGGCCGACGCTCTATCCACTGAGCCAAACCGGCTGGGCTCTACTTCTTTTAAAAAAAAATATATTTTTGTTGATTTCAGAGAGGAAGGAAAGGGAGAGCGAGATAGAAACATCACTGATGAGAGAGAATCATTGATCGGCTGCCTCCTGCTCGCCCGCTATTGGGGATCTAGGTGCAACCCAGACGTGTGCCCTGCCTGACTGGGAATCAAACCGTGACCTCCTGGTCCATAGACTGATGCTCACCCACTGGGCCACGCTGGCCGGGCATAGAGACCCCACTTCTGCCCGTTTCCCTTTAAGTTGGGCCATGTGGCTGCCGTGGCAGGTGGCAGCGGGGCCTTCAGGTCGTTCCGATGCTGTTGGAACCCTGTGAAGCGACCCTGGTGGCCGGTGGCTGCATAGGCGAGTTTAATCGCATTCCCCAGCCGAGCCGAGGACGTAGGTGACAGGTCTGGTCCGTAGGTGTCATTCCCGGCGCCTGTAGGTGACTAAGAGCAGACATGAGGGAGGAAATGGCAGGGCCGCCCGGGCCACACACTGACTCTTGCTTTGCTCCCGACTTTGACCGATAGCTACATCCCCAAAGACAACAGCCTGCAGTCGGAGACGGTGCACTACAAGCGCGGGGTGTGCCAGCAGTTCTGCCTGCCCTCCCACACCGTGGACCCCTCCGAGTGGGCCGAGGAGGAGGTGAGCCCCCCTGTGGGGAGAGGACGCGGGGCAGTTCCCCACGGGGGGCCTGGATGGGCCACGGCCAGCTGCAAAGGGACTGCCTGCCAGGCGCTCAGAGGTCAGGTTCACCTTCAGCCCGTAACGCCTTCACACCCTAAGGATACGCCCAACCTCAAACTTTCCTCTTCCAAACCAGCCCGTTAGCCCGGGGCGTTTCAAAAAAACCACGCTCAGAGAAAAGAACTGGAGGCTACAAGGCTGTGCCTCTAGGAGATTTTAAAGAGAAACTGGTGGCCGTCCGTCAAAGGGACAGGGGTAGTGACGAGGCTGTGGAGGAGCAGAGATGAGATTCGTTTAAAAAATATATCTATATCTATGTCTATATCTATATCTATATCTATATGTTTACTTTTCAGAGAGGAAGGGAGAGGGGGAGAGAGAGAGAAACATGAATGATGAAAAACAAGAACATTGATTGGCTGCCTCCTGTACGCCCCCTACTGGGAATCCAGCCCAAAACCGGGGCGTGTGCCCTGACCTGGAATCGAGCCGTGACCTGCTGGTTCATAGGTCGGTGCTCACCCCCGAGCCCCACCGGCGGCAGAGATGAGGTCCTTGGCCACGCCCACCTTTCCGACGGGCCCTGCGCCACTGCAACATGAGCTTTGTTCTTCCTCCCTCTGCTTTCCCTCCAGCTCGGCTTCGATCTGGACCGGGAGGTCTACCCGCTGGTGGTCCATGCGGTGGTGGACGAAGGAGACGGTATGGACGCCCTGTGTCTTCTTTGGCCGGCACGCTGCCCGTGGGTGGCCCAAGGCCTCCGTGGGTGCCAGGCAGTGTCTGCACCCCCCTCCCCCACTCCTGTTCCCGAGGCCCGCGGCGGACAGGGACACCCGGGTTCCATAACGTGCCCATCGTGATGGCAGGAGCCGCGGGGAGTCGGGGAGGGCCGGCGGCGGCGGGTGCGTCGCTTGGTTTGCCTCTCCATCCTGTGCCTTCTTTCCTTCCAGAGTACTTCGGCCATTGCCACGTGCTGCTGGGCACTTTCGAGAAGGTGAGTGAGTGGCTTTCCAGGGCCTCACCCCACAGGTTCAGCTCTCCCGGGAGACGGGCAGCCTGGTCCCGGCTGCCTGAGCTCAGCAGGTGGCGCTGGCCCGGGGGCTGGGGCTGGCGGGGGGAGATCACCACACTGGGGGCTGCACGGGGCCGAGCTCCAGCTCTGCCACCAACTGTGCTTGACCTTCCACCCCGAGGCCTCCTTTCCTCTCCTCCAAAGGGAAGGGTCAGACCAGACCTGGGACGGCCCTGCCCCCCCGGGAGCCTGCAGTCCCCACGGCGGGGCCCCCAGGCCACGTGCGGCTGAGAGAAGTCGCAGTGAACACGGGGCCGCCTGGCCTGCGCCCTGGTCATCACTGCCTGTTCTCCTTGCAGCACACGGACGGCACCTTCTGTGTCAAGCCCCTCAAGCAGAAGCAAGTGGTGAGTCCTGAGGGCCGGGCTGCTGGCGTCCCCTCTCTCCTCTCTTCTTTCTCTCTCTCTCTCTTTCTTTCTCTCTCTTTTTTAAATATAATTTTATTGATTTCAGAGAGGAAGGGAGAGGGAGAGAGAGAAAGGTCAGTGATGAGAGAGAATCATTGGTCAATCCAGGCACGTGCCCTGACCGGGAATCGAACCGTGACCTCCTGGTTCATAGGTCAACGCTCAACCACTGAGCCACGCCGGCGTTTAAGAGAGGTTGTAGGAGAGGCAGAGGAGGTACTGCCTGGATTGGCTGGCTGGCTGGGGAAGCTCAGGGAAAACGGCTTTTCTGTAGCTAGAGTCGTGTTAGTGACAGACTGTCAGACTGGCGGGTGGGATATGACATCAGTGACAGGCCAGGTCTCGGGATGAATTCAGAGGCCAGGCAGAGGGGCGGGGCCTGGATTAGGGAAGCCAGGGACGGGCCAGCCTCAGCACTGCTGGGGCCAGACTCGTGGGAGTGAGCCTGGGTGTTGAAGTTGGAGTTTTAAGAAACAGGAGCTGCCCTGGCCGGTTTGGCTCAGTGGATAGAGCGTCGGCCTGAGGACGGAAGGGGCCCAGGTTCGATTCGGGTCAAGGGCACATGCCCGGGTTGTGAGCAAAATCCCCAGTAGGGGGCGTGCAGGAGGCAGCCGATCCATGATTCTCTCTCATCATTGATGTTTCTGTCTCCCTCTCCCTCTCCCTTCCTCTCTGAAATCAATAAAAATATATTTTAAAAAAAGAAAAGAAACAAGGGCTAGAGGGTGCTTTTGCAGCGTGTTGGAGACGGGCAGCTCCCCTCCGATGCCTCCCTTCTGTCTTCCCCTCCCCCCTTTCCCTTACCCACTTCTCCTCTGTCTTTCTCTCCCCCTCCTTTCTCCTTGCGATGTGTGAACCTCACGTTTATTTCGTAGCTGAGGTTACATTGTGCTGATCTTCTCCCGCCCCGTTCTAGTCTCCCCCTTTCTTTGCTGCGGGCGATGGTGAGGGCAGGGCAGCGGCATGCCAGTCTGAGCGTGTGTGTCCCTGTTGGAGGGAAAATCAAACAGCTGGTTTTGCTTCTCAACAAGAGAGCCGCCGTGGAGAAAGCATCCTCGGCTTGTCCCGGCCTTCCGTCGTCACCGCCGTGAACCTGCGGCCCTCAGCCCGTCGCCACGGCAGGGGCGTGTGTGGCCGCTCCTATCTGTGCGAGGGTCAGCCTGCCCTGGAACTCTCTGTGTTTGCCGTGCAGGTGGACGGGGTCAGCTACCTGCTCCAGGAGATCTACGGGATCGAGAACAAGTACAACACGCAGGATGCCAAGGCGAGTGCCGCCCGGTGCGCTGCCTGTCCTCCCGAGGGGCAGCGAGGAGCCCCGGTCAAGCCGGGGCCGGGAGGCCGGGCGCCGCCCTCGCCGTCAGCTCGGGCCCAGAGGGTGTTTCCCGCCCCTCGTTTCAGATGACTGTCCTTAAATCGCTCTGGGTTAGTCTCTGAGTCCCCGCCCCACCCCCCGCCGTTAGCCGGCTGGGCTTTCCGGATGCTGATTATTAAACCCGTCTTATCCCCGTGGGGTCTGCTCGGCCCCACGGCCCAGCCGGTCAGAGGCAGGTCAGCCTCACAGTGTGAGCTTGAGAGAAGCTCCCGGAGTCAGTGACCCCGAGTGTGAACGCACTGGGTAACCTGTGAAGTCCGATGTAAGTGTAAGCTTCTGTTCCTATTCCTTTTTTAAATATATATATATATTTTTATTGATTTCAGAGAGGAAGGGAGAGGGAGAGAGAGAGAAACATCAATGATGAGAGAGAATCATGGACCGGCTGCTTCCTGCACGCCCCCCACTGGGGATCGAGCCCACAACCCGGGCCGGTGCCCTGACCTCCTGGTTCATGGGTCGATGCTCAGCCCTGAGCCGCGCCGGCCGGACTGTTCCCATCCCTGGTCTAGCGAGTGTGCGTCCTTGTCCTTGGCTCAGTGTCCGCTCCCCGGCAGGTGGCTGAGGACGAGGTGAGTGACAACAGCGCCGAGTGCGTGGTGTGCCTCTCGGACGTGCGGGACACCCTCATCCTGCCCTGCCGCCACCTCTGCCTGTGCAACACCTGCGCCGACACCCTGCGCTACCAGGCCAGCAACTGCCCCATCTGCCGCCTGCGTAAGCCCCGCGGGGCAGGGGTGGCGGGGTCTGTCCCACCCCCGCACCCACGTGGCCTGACGGCCCCTCTCCTCCTCCGCAGCCTTCCGGGCGCTGCTGCAGATCCGAGCCATGAGGAAGAAGCTGGGCCCCTTGTCCCCGACCAGCTTCAACCCCATCATCTCCTCCCAGACCTCCGACTCGGAGGAGCCCTCGGTGAGTGGGGCTCAGAACCGCGCCCCGTGAAGCCAACAGGGAGGTCTCCTCGCTGCCTCCTCTCGCCTTGGCCCCTCATTTCCGTGCCTTTGCGGGGTGTGGGCAGTAAGCTGGGTGAGCCCCTGTTGCCTTGAGACCAGCCTGTAGTGTAAGGTTGGGAATTTGGTGTCCTGATGGTGGTGGCCATGCCTAGAGCCTCCCCCACTTCCCCCCTGTGGGCCCCCCTTTCTCCGGGACTCCCCCAAGCAGAAGCAAGGGGGTGGTCGTCTTAGGTTAGGATATAGTTTACTGTCTTTATCTGAGTCCTCGCAGGAGGTAACTGGTTTTATTTTTCTGGGTTTTTTTAAAATATATTTTTTATTGATTTCACAGAGGAAGGGAGAGGGAGAGAGAGAGAAACATCAATGATGAGAGAGAATCATTGATCAGTTGCCTCCTGCACACCTCACACTAGGGATCGAGTTCCCTGACCGGGAATCAAACCGTAACCTCCTGATTCTTAGGTCAATGCTCAACCACTGAGCCACACCGGCCGGGCGGTAACTGGTTTTCTTTATCCCTTTTGGTGGGGTCAGGGGCGGGGAGCCGAGCATATGAAGGTATCCCCCTCCGTTTCAGGGTGCAAGGCAGGGTGTCGGGGTGAAGCCTCAGAGCAGATACTGACTTGCTTTAGATTCCCACGCTAGACGTACCATCCAGTGAGCGGTACGGGGATAATTACTTAGCTATCTGGGGAGGAAAAGTCAGTGTGGCTTTACTCCTTACCAGATAACAGATTGCACATGGAGTAACAGTGAACTGTACTCCAAACAAAGCAAACCAAGCAGAACGTTAAAGGGCTGGAATGAATTACCGGTCACTCTCCGGTGGACTTTGGACGGGAGAGGGCTCGCTAAAGTGGAACAGGACAGACAAAGACGGTGCACATTTCACCACGTAACAGATTTAAATTTCAGCCCGGCTGATGCGGCTCAGTGGTTGCACGTCGACCCAGACACCAAAAGGTCACCGATTCAATTCCCGGTCGGGGCTCATGCCCAGGTTGTGGGCTCAGTCCCCCATAGGGGGCGTGCAGGAGGCAGCCCATCCGTGTTTCTCTCTCCCTCTCCCTTCCTCTTTCTCTAAAAACAAAAACAATAAAAACAAAACATAGGAGCTTTAAAATTTTTTGAATTTCAGATGAATAGCACATGACCAAGATTGAAAGGCAAACAACCACCCATTTAAAGAAAAAAATGTCTTCACGACATTTACAAGGGAGGAAAGGCCGTGTCTCGGCTGTAGCTCCTGTGAATAAAACAGATAAAAATGTTCAAAGGGTTTCAAAACGCAGTTCTCAGAAGCGGGAGCACAGCATTGCTTTCAGCCTCAGCCACATTAAAAACCAACAATACGCAAATTAATGGGAGACACCGTTTTCACCCTTCAAATTAAAAAAACCTCTTTAAAGACACTCCAGGCTGGCAGAACTAAGTAGGTTTTCTGTTCTGCTTTGAGGAGTGAAACTAGAAAAATCGTTGAAAAAAATTTTTTTAAAAAGCCTGTGTATGTCAAGAGCCTTAAACACGATTATACGAGGTAATCTAGGGCCTAAGAATTTAATACCAAGAAAATGATCTGAAAAAAGATTCAGGCACTAGGACATCCCTCAGACTGTTCACAGTCGGAAATGTCGACACAGCTGAGTAGCCAGCCCCGGTGGGACCAGGAGCTTGCGGGGTCGGTGAGAAGGGGACGCGTGTGAAGGAAAACATGTGTCAGGTGACGTACGCAGGATATAAAGTTGTTATTCACAGATAGGTTGTAGCTGTGCAAACAGGACAGAGGGAAAAATTGGAAGAAAATACACAGAATGCTAATAAAATTATTACTTTGGGTGACTTGATTATTGATGGTTTCCCCCCTCCTTTCTACTCTTTTTTTTTAATCCTGACCCGAGGATATGTTTATTGATTTTAGAGAGAGAGAAAGAGACAGACATCGATGTGAGAGAGAACATCGATTGGTCGCCTCCCGCAACACACCCCAACCAACACATCCCAACCAACACACCCCAACCAACACATCCCAACCAACACACCCCAACCAACACATCCCAACCAACACATCCCAACCAACACACCCCAACCAACACACCCCAACCAACACACCCCAACCAACACATCCCAACCAACACACCCCAACCAACACATCCCAACCAACACACCCCAACCAACACACCCCAACCAACACATCCCAACCAACACACCCCAGCCGGGGCTTGAACCTGCAGCCCGGGCATGTGCCCTGGCGGGGAATCGACCCGGGACCTCTGGCCTGAGCCCCGCGGTCTGGCTAACGAGCTCTCCCACCGTCTGACCCCCTAGTCCTCCGAGAACATCCCGCCGGGCTATGAAGTGGTGTCCCTTCTGGAGGCCCTCAACGGGCCCCTCACCCCGTCCCCCGCGGTCCCTCCACTGCACGTGCTGGGCGACGGCCACCTCTCAGGAATGCTGCCCGCCTACGGCAGCGACGGCCACCTGCCCCCCGTCAGGACCCTCTCCCCGCTCGACCGCCTGCCCGACGGCAGCAGCCAAGGACTCAAGCTCAAAAGGAGTCTCTCCAAGTGAGTCGCCGGCACGCGCCCGCCCGTGTGGGCCTGGGGTCCTTGGCGGGGTGCTCCCAGCCACCCCCCACCTCCTCAGCGCCGCTCCCCACCTGGGTGCCCGGGCAGGGTGGGCCCGCTGGGCCGTTCCCAGAGCGTCTCGTTTCCAGAAGACCCGGGGCTGATCCCTGGGGGAGCTAACCCCGGCCCTTAGGAGAGGAAGGTAAGGTGGCAGGCGCGGATGTAGGGGGACCAGATAGACAAATCCATTAGGCGTACTGTTGGGGGGAGGTCCAGGGAGGTCCAGGGCATCATTTAGTCCAGCGAGGGCGAACCTTTCGAGCTCGGCGTGTCAGCATTTTGAAAAGCCCTAACTTAACTCTGGTGCCATGTCACATATAGAAATTTTTTGATATTTGCAACCATAGTAAAACAAAGACTTATATTTTTTATATTTATTTTATATATTTACATGCCATTTAACAAAGAAAAATCAACCAAAAAAATGAGTTCGCGTGTCACCTCTGACACGCGTGTCATAGGTTCGCCATCACTGATTTAGTCTGAAGACTAAAGCAACCTTGGGATTTGTATCTTTTAGGCATTTAAACCCAACGAGGCCCAGACTGATAAGCTTTCTGCTGCAGCGTCAAGGAAGGCAGCTTATACACTAGGGGTGGGGAACCTTTTTCCTGCCAGGGGCCATTGGATGTTTATAGCATCACTCTCGGGCCATGCAGAATTAAAAATTAGCTGCTGTATCTGGTCAAACATTTCATTAACTCACTCCTACTGCCTTGGCGGGGCCAGACCAAATGATTCCTTCGAGGGCACGGCCCGCAGGCCGGACGCTCCCCACCCCTGTTATAGATGAAAATATTAAGACAGCAGAAATGTCAGTGGTTTTTCCCAAGTTTACACACACGTTATGGAAGAAGCTGAAGAGAAAACTCAGATGTTCTGATGCCCACGAGCGGGCTCCGTCCCTCCCAGTGCTCTGCCCACCTCCCCGCGCCTTAGGGTTTGGGGTGCTCCGCGCGGTCCGCCCCTTCCTGCGGGGTCTGGTGGGAACGTGCCGTTCTCCCGGCCCAGCTGCTGTTCCCTCCGACAGGTCCATCTCCCAGAATTCCTCGGTGCTGCACGAGGAGGAAGACGAGCGTTCCTGCAGCGACTCGGAGACGCGCCTCTCTCCGCGGCCGGCCGCGCAGCAGCCGGGAGAGGTAGCCTGCACCGCCCTTCCTTTCGTGGGGTCGGACTCCAGTGCGTGTCGGATTCCCGGTCAGGGCCACCTGCTGTCATTCATTCGTCAACACCTTTTTTTAATTTTTATAAATATGTTTTTATTGATGTCAGAGAGGAAAGGAGAAGGAGAGAGAGATGGAAACATCAATGATGAGAGAGAATCATGGATCGGCTGCCTCCTGCACACTCCACACCGGGGATGGAGCCCGCAACCCAGGCACGTACCCTGACCGGGAATCGAACTGTGACCTCCTGGTTCATAGGTCGACCCTCAACCACGGAGCCACACCGGCCGGGCCGCCAAACACCTTTTGAACCCTCTCTGAGACAGCGGCAGAGGTTTTGTTCAATTTATTTATTCATGAGCCTGTGACTTACCTGTGCTATTCCGTCTGCTGAGGACAGCAGCAGTGAGGAGACCGCCAACCCCTGCCTGGTGGCGCTTATGTTCTTGATGGTGGGGTGGGAGTGGCCCAAAAGGCAGTAAGTGAAAAACGTGTGTCCGAGGGCGCTGTGTTCGCTGTGGCAGAGGAGGGAGGGAGAGGGTGTCGAGGCCAGAGGTGGGGTTGCTGTCTTTACGGAGTGGCCTGTGAACACAGACCGAGGGAGGCGCGAGAGCCAGCGATGCAGGCATCCCAGGAAAGGGTGCGGGCACAGGACACGCTGGGAGGACGTGTGGAGGAGGGAAGGAGGTGGGGTTTCCTGCCTGTGCCCCCCTCACAGGTTCTAGGTAACACAGGCGCATTGCACCCCCTCTCGGCAAGGCAGTGAGCTGGGTCTGGGAGCAGGCGGAGGTGACAGCAGGGTCCCGCCCTCAGGAGCGTGAGGACTAGTGGGGACAGGACATGTGCAGTGGCTGCCACAGAGTCGTTGCTCAGTTAGGTGTTGTTTGAATGAATGCATGAATGAATGAATGAATGAATGAATGAATTTAACGATAGGAGACAAGTGTGCCCAAGGCAGGGACCGTCAGCGCTGGGCCAGAGGTGGGAGAGATGGCACGTGAAGGAAACCGTGAGTGAGAGAGAGGACGGGCGTGGAGTAGACGTGGGGATTCTTAGAAATGAAGAGAAAAGGGAGAGAAACGCTGGGGATGGGGAGACGTCCAGGCTGTGGGCAGGTCAGTGGTCCCGTGAGAGCTTTGTGTCCCGAAGGCCCACCTGCTGGGGAGAGTCGATGGATTGGGGGAGACAGACTGAGCCTGGGTGGGAGGGAGCCCAGAGCTGGGATCGCAAAAGCACGCTGGGCCCGGCTTTCGTGGCTCAGTGGTTGAGCACCGACCTATAAACCAAGAGGTCACTAGTGCGTTTCCTGGTCAGGACACCTGCCTGGGTTGTGGGCTCCATCCCCAGTGGGAGGCGTGCAGGAGGCAGCCGATCAATGATCCTCATCATTGATGTTTCTATCTCTCCCTTCCTCCCTGAAATCAATAAAAATATATTTTTTTTAAAAAAAAGAAAAAGCACGCCGGCCTGGAGAAAAGAGAATGGGCTGTGGAGCTAGAACCCCTAGGACTTCGCACCTGCCGGGGGTGCTGGGGGCGCCAGCCCAGCTGGCTGACGGGTGGGGTGTCAGGGCAGGGCGGGCCGGGGAAGGGGCTGCTGTGTGAGCCGACTGAGCTGGAACTAACCCGACATCCGAGTGGGGGTGCCCGGCGGGCGGGCGGGCGGCCTCTGTTGCTCTGTCCCTTCCCTTCAGAAGGAACGCTGCTTCTCATCCCGGGAACCTGGGCGTCCCCACGTCACAGCTGCCGGTGGCCTGTCACCTGAGCCCCGTCTTTGTGGGCCCGGCAGATGCTGTGCTGCGGGAGGATGAGCTGAGTGAGGTTTGCACCTCCCCGGGGAGCAGCATCCGGGCCAGGGCCGGAGACGGTGGTGACAAGAGAGAGACGGCCCTGCATGTGCTGATGTCGTGGCCGTGGCGTGGGGACCTCGGCCCCTCCCAGCGTCCCCTCGCCCTTCCTCCTGCCCTCGCGGTGTTTGACTTGTCCACCCTCCGTTGTTGCCCAGGAATGTGGCGTCACTCCAGACAGCGAGAATCTCACCCTGTCGTCATCAGGGGCCATTGACCAGTCATCTTGCACGGGGACGCCTCTCTCTTCCACGATTTCCTCCCCAGAAGGTATGCGAGGGAGCGGGGAAGGCGAGGGAGTGGGGAGGGTGGCACGTCCCCCCCGCAAGCCCAGTCCTCAGCCCTGTGTTTCCTCCGGAGCAGACAGACCCTGGGCAGCGAGTTAACACCTAAGCTGGTGACCAGCAGGCCCCTCTAGAGGGGGAGGGGACTGGCTGTCCCCGGGGCGAGCTGGGGGACAGCACTGTCTTACCCCCCGTCCTGCACGTCCCTGGTCCCCGAGTGAGTTCTGAGCTCTGAATGCGAAGGAGCAGAGCCCTGGAAAACCTTCAGTCCGGCCCGGCCGCGTGGCTCAGTGGTGAGCGTGGGCCTATGAACCAGGAGGTCACGGCTCCATTCCCCGTCAGGGCACAGGCCCAGGTTGTGGGCTCAGCCCCAGTGGAGGGTGTGCAGGCGGCAGCCGGTCAGTGATTCTCTCTCATCATTGATGTTTCTCTCTCTCTCTCCCTCTCCCTTCCTCCCTGAAACCAATAAAAACATATTTTTAAAAAAGGATAAAAAAGAAAACCTTCCATCTAAAACCCCTTCGGTGACGGGGAGGCCAGGCCACTGTGGCCTCGCTGAGCGGGGCAGGGACGGGGCTCGGCTCCTTGCTCAGCTCCAGAGCCCGTGCCGACCCGTCTCCTCCTTCTCCTCCCGTCTCCACAGACCCTGCCAGCAGCAGCCTGGCCCAGTCGGTCATGTCCATGGTGTCCTCCCAGAGCCAGCACTCGCAGCTCAGCACCGACACGGTCTCCTCCATGTCCGGCTCCTACATCGCCCCCGGCACGGGCACGGGCACGGGCACGGAGGACGAGGGAGAGGCGCTCCCCTCCCCGCTGCCCACCAGCAGGGCCGCTTCCGAGGAAGGAGAGGTAAGGGCAGGGCACGGGGCCTCTCCGTGTGACATATCCGAGCAGCTCCCGCAAGGTGCGCCCGGGGCACCTGGGAGCCCCCACCGTGCTGGGAAGGGGAGCCATGGAAATGGGGGAATAGAACCCAGGGCTCCCCCCTCAGGCCTGACTCTGCGGGGCACCACTTTTTTTTGTTGTTGTTAATCTTCACCCAAGGATATTTTTCCATTGATTTTTTAGAGAGTGGGATAGAGAGGGAAAGACAGAGAGAAACATTGATACGAGAGAAACACATCAATTGGTTGCCTCCTGCACACGCCCTGACCAGGGCCGGGGCTGGGGAGGAGCCTGCAGCCGATGTACATGCCCTTGACCGGAATCGAACCCGGGACCCTTTGGTCCACAGGCCGACGCTCTATCCACTGAGCCAAACCAGCCAGGGATGCTTGGCACCACTTCTGTCGCGAGGACGTGGTTGGGGTTTGCTGCAAGGCGGGTGAGCTGGGTGCCCCCAGAGCCGGCATGTCCGCACCTCCATTCCTGTTACTCTTGCAGGCGATGCCGGCGGCGTCTCCAGACAGCAACTTCGTGGGCCTCGCTGACGAGCAGGACGCAGAGGTAACCCCCACAGGGGGCGTGGTGCCCCTTCCAACCAGAGGTCAGAGGGTCCTGGTGCTGGCTGGGGACGCAGACGGGCGGGGCGCTGTTCCGGAACAATCCTCCCAGGTGGCGTTCGGGTCAGGCGTGCTGGGGAGGGACAGCAGCTGCACTAGGGGCGGGGGGTGTCCAGTTAGCAGAGGGCGCTGGTCTCGGGTTACAGACACGGAGTGGGCTTTGAGCACCTGTTTGTCCCTCATTCACTTAGTGACTCTTACACAGGTGACTGGGTCGCGGGTGCTGGCCGGCCCGGGGCCATGAAGGCCTGAGTGGCCTGGCCTCTGCCTGCCCCCCACCTTCTGTCCCCCCAGGCGGGGAGACGGGGTGACAATTCAGCGTGAGAAGTGCCTTGACCAAGGTGTCACAGGGCGGGCTCTAGAACTTCCCTTTTTTCCTCTAGAGCAGCGGTTCTCAACCTGTGGGTCGCGACCCCTTTGGCGGTCGAACGACCCTTTCACAGGGGTCGCCTAAGACCATCCTGCATATCAGATATTTACATTATGATTCATAATAGTAGCAACATTACAGTTATGAAGTAGCAACGAAAATAATTTTATGGTTGGGTCACAACATGCAGAACTGTGTTTAAAGGGCCAGAAGGTTGAGAACCGCTGCACTAGAACTTCTTCTTGAGCCGTATATTCTCAGAGGAGCGGCTGGATAGGGTTTGCGATGGGAAGGGGTTTCTGTGAGGTTGGGGTCTCAGCGCTGTTTCCACCTTAGAAAGCAGACGAGCTAACCCAGCACCAAGGCCATTGCCGGCATGTCCAGCTGCATCCGAACACGCCCCAGACCAGTCCCTCCCAAGCCGGCCGGCCCCTGCCCGGCCTCCCAGGCACCTCCAACTCCTACGCTGCCGCCGCCGGCCCTGCAGTTAAACACCGTGAGGGTCACTAGTTCGGGCTCCAGCCCGTGAGGGTGCAGTTGGCCCTTACACGGCACAGTTCGGGCCGCATTGTCCTGGAATCGGCTGTCTTTCGGGTCTGCAGTGGGGAGCCCTGTGGGCAGAGGCCGGCGGAGACGTGGCCGGCACCCCGACCCGCACTGTTCCAGGCCCACTGCGCTCCCGCTATGCTGTGCAGGCTCAAGCGCCTTCCTTCTGTTGTAGGGCAATGACGTCATGGAGGAAGACGATGGGTCCCCCACACAGGAAGACGGTAATCGACCTGCTCTTGGCTCCCCCTCCTCTGTCCTTCCCGGGTGTTCATTCACGGCCGCAGAGGGGGCCCTGGCGTGAGCGGGTGGCACTCCTCAGCCTGTGCCCCGGGAAGGTCACCTTCCTGATGGGTGGGCTGTCCGAGGACCGCAGTGCCCGCCCGGCTCGCTCGGGATGGGGGTGCAGCAGAGGACGGCTCCCCCTTTACGTGGAACACATTCCAAAGCTTCTCGGGGAGCTCCCACCGCCTGCCTTCCTGCTCCGGCCCCCCGCCGGGTCCCCCAGACCTCTCAGCGCCCCGAGTGCAGCAGCGGCGATGCTGTCTCCTCCGCGTGGGAGAGAGGACTCAGGCTGCGGGTTTGGTTTTGCTGTAGCGAAGGAGGCGGCTGACGTTGCCGGGACAGGGATCCCAGGAGCCAGCGGCACAGGGCAGGCTGGTCCGTAGCTGCCGGAATGGTTTTCTCAGGCCTCCAGGACGCCCTCCGGTGGAGCGGTGTGGTTTCTAGTGCGGACAAGAGGAGGGGTGGCCTGCAGAGAAGGGAGTGGGGAGAGGGGGTGGCGCTGGGCCTGGCCCCCCAGGGGATGGAACCCAGCTCTCCCCTCTGCTCTGAGGCGCCTCCACAGAAGGACACCTCCAAAGCAGACCCGACCCGCGGGGTGCAGACGCCACCCTCATCGCTTCTGCTTCAGCGCTGGCCGTTGCTTGGGGAGTTCAGGGTGCGCTTGCAGACTTGGCCACTCTGCTTGGCCAAGTCACCCTGAAGGAGGGGATGGCCGCCAGGCGGGGCCTCCGCCGCCCTCTGCACAACGAGGCCCATGACCTCAGTGCTCACGGCTCCCTTGGGGACTGTCCCCGACCCCCCGAATATCTGCTTCCGACAAGCTCAGGCCGCAGGTGCTTCCCCTATGACGTCGTGTAGCCCCCAGGGTGGGTCTCTGTGTCTTCCTTTCCCTTTCAGCAAGAAATAAAATAAGATAGAAAGAGGGAGCTTGAAAAAAATAACTGCTAAAACCCTACCCTCCCCCTCTCACACGTCCGTAGGTTTCTGGCCAGTCCCCTTAAAACGTCCTCAAAATAACAAATTCCATAAAGTCCCATAAGAAGATGGATCCTAACTGGGTGCATGTGGCGATTCTGACTTGATATGCAAACTTAGGGAACCTGTGAGACCGGCAATTGTTCTGGTATTTAGCATGTGCAGAGCCCTGTGGTCACAAGCACCCGACAGCACCCACAGACACAGGCAGGAGCAGGGCAGCTCCGCCGGCGGGTCCCCAGCTCCTCCCGCCCCTGGCAGAGCTCCCCGGCTGTTGGCAGCCCCCCTCCCCCAGGCTCCGCCTCCTGCGGAACAGTGGCTGGAAAGGGGCCAGTTAGGGAAAGGGACAGGCTAGGTCGGGAACGCGAACGTGCCCACACAGTTAGATTCCTTATTGTCCGCTCTTTACCCACTTAATTACTGTCTTTTTTTTTTTAAACACATGATCCGGTTTGTTTGTCTCCATCCTTAAGATGTTTACGTTCAGGACAGCAGAGCAGAGACGCACCCAGCGCGCCCGTCTAACTGCGTGAACTCCCTTACAGGCCAGAGGACGTGCGCGTTTCTAGGCATGGAGTGTGACAATAACAATGACTTTGACATCGCAAGCGTGAAAGCACTGGACAATAAGCTGTGCTCTGAGGTCTGCTTACCGGGTGAGTGGCAGTCTGCTGAACGTGACCTTGGTGGGAGTCGCTCCCCTGCTCACACCCCTGCTCTCACCCCGGGGCGCCCACCTCCTGCCCTGCGGCTCCTGCAGAAGCCTGGGCTGTGCTGGGATGCCGGAAGCTGCTGCTGAAAGGAAGTGTGTGCCCCGAGGGAGAAGGTCAGGCCGGGAGGAGGGAGCAGCTCTCCCTCTCCTTCCCGTCTTCCCCGTCTTCCTGACGGGCCCCTCCATCGCGATCTCGCAGATCCCATGGCGGGCGGCCTGGCCTGTGTCCCCCACAGGCGGTGTGGAAGGCAGCCGGAGCCCTTGCGAAGGGCATCCGTGGCTCCTCGGCAGGAAGGTGAAAGCCAGCGTGTTCTCGATGAGCGAGGGGCTCCAGTCGCCTTGTACTTTGTCAGCTCTGGATCCCAGAGGAGAGGTCAGGGCTGGAGGGTGACCGTGCCCCCTGGAGCCCTAACCTTACATTTCATCAGGGCTGTCAGGGCCCCTTCCTCCTCCTCACGGCGCTACCCGGAACCCAGGCCGACTTCCTGCAGAGGAGCCGCGGTACCAACCGGCGCGCGCTGCCCTCTTCCACCCGCGGTGCCCACGTGGGGGCTCCCCGAGCCGCTTCTCCAAAGCCCGGGCCTGCCCACGCGGACTCGGTCAGACCTGCCCGCCGGGTTTTACGGCAGACGCTGTCCCTCACACGTGTGCTCCGTCATCGCTCCGCCGGCCCCTGAAATGGAGACATTTCAACCTCAGAGCAGCCCCCTGGCATCGTGGTCCAGTGCTTTACGCGTTCCGCAAAGTGGCCACGGCTTTGGGGCCACACAGCCGCCTGTGGTTGCCACGCTCCATCGGCCTGGGAAGGACACGGTCCCGCAGGCTCGGGCCGCAGGGAGCCGGGCCTCGGAGGCGTGCCCTCCAGCCTTTCCGGGGCCCCTGGGTCAAGGTCTATGGAGGGCTGACCCAGGCCGGTCTGGACGTCACTTCCTGCCTCCCATCCCCGCCTCGCTTCTGTCTGTCCGTTCGTTTTCCACGGCTTTTTCGGTTCTCTGGTGTCCTGTAGGCTGTGTGTGGAGGCTCACGTTCGCTCTGTGCCAACACTGTCCTCCCGGCTACGCCGCCCGCCCCCGCGCTTGCTGGGCCTGCGCGCATCCCAGCGCCTCCTGCTTCGGTTCCATCCCTAACCGGCAAGGGCCCGTGTCCGTAGACTAGGATTTTTCCAAGAAAAAAAAACTTTTTGGGAGGATATATCCATTCCTGTTCCAGAAAAAGGGGGTGCTTCTGTGCAAGGATCCTGGGGCGGGTTGGTCCAGCTGCAGATGGCATCTCTGCCCTCGCTCCGCTGTGTGTCAGCTCACTGGGCATGCGTGTGTGGGAGAGAGTCTAGGTTCCTGTCCCCCTTGAGGGCCCCCCCCCACTTGTTGGCAGAGGGAGCTGCTGGGAGTTGTTGGAGCCAACCAAGCTGCTGGAAATGCGAGCGTATTCCCTCTGCTTCCGCCTCTTCCTCACCCTGCGCCAGCCTGCTGGTTGACATTCAGTCCGCTCTCGGGGTCGGGGAGGGGAGTGAGACTCGGAAGGGAGGAAGGGAGGGAGGACCCCTGGGGTTCCTTGTGGGGATCTGAGATTAAAGTGGGGTCACGGCTGAGACCAGACACACGAACCAAACCGAACGCTGTGATGTCTGTCGGGAGAGGGATTCGGTGTAAGCGCTTGAGGTGTCTGTCCATTGTCCCCTCACCAGAGGTCCGGGGCTCTTAGGACTCTGGTTCGGCCGGGAGCACCATGCGGGGAGCAAAGTGCTGGGGAACCCTCCGGAAGCGTCCGCTGGGTTCGTGACAGGCGTACCCGCTTTGGTAGGTCCCCTGGGATGGAGGGGCCTCGGCCTTAAGGTCAAACTTCCATCCCACGATGGAGATCCCGAGGTCCCTCCCCGCCGGCCGGCCGGGCTCCTCGGGCCTGTGGGCTCCAGACGGCTTCGCGGCCCTTGGTCTCTGTTTCCCTCTCCAAGCAGAGGGTGCCCCCCTCGAGGAGGGCCCATGAGAAGCAGAGCCGGGGGCACCCCACTCTCCCTGTCCCCATCACCCTCCATGCTCACGGGTGCTCGGCCGGGAGGCCCAGCCAGCTGGTGGCGAGGCCCACACAGGTCCCCATCCTCACCACTCGTCAGAGTGACGCCGACAGGGCACCTGTGCCTCTGAGCCCCTCTGGGGTTCTCGGGCCAGACGCCCAGGGGCAGAGGGGTGCCCCCAGGTTGTTGGAGAGGCTCTGCTCTCCAAGGGAGGGCAGCGAAGCGGACGGGGCAGGGTGAGCAGTTGGGAATTCTGAGACCAGCGAAGGAGTGGCGGGTCCAGGGGATCGGACGGGCTGTCACACGGGTGGCAGTGGGGGAGGGGGGGGCGGGGGACCAGCGGTTGTTCAGCGAACGCCTCTGGGAGATTGATGATGGGAACGAGCGCAGATGACGGGTTCAGTCCTGGAAACACTACAGTTTTGATGGCCGCATCGGGCAGCTGTGGGCGTAGCTAATGGAACTGAAAATGCCTGTGGAGGCCAGTGGGTGACCCAGACCAGGAGGCTCCTGGGGAAGGCGGCACTCGGTAGAGACTGAGGAAACAGCCAATTCACACACACACACCCAGAAACCTCAGTAAAGGGGTGCCCTGAACGTGCTCCCCAAATCCGCCTCTAGAGGTCTCTTCACTCACCCATTTCTGAGTCCCCCAAACGGGAATTGAAGGGAAGCGCCTTTACCTGTCTCCCTCTGAGAGTTTAAACCTCTGAGCCCCGTTTCCTGGCCGGAGTCTCCCCAGCATCCGGGTTCCTTTCTGTGGCCGAGCTCGCCCCCTGGACCGGGTGAGCAGAGGCAGCGTCCCCTGTCGGGAAAGGGCACCCCAGGCGCATGGGTAGCCCCAGGAGAGCGGACGCCAGCCCGAGAGTCTGGAGGCCGCCCCGAAGGCAGCGGTGTTGGCCGGGGAGGGTTCTAGAATGGCCGTGTCTGCGGCGAGGGCTCGTGTGAGCGCAGCAGGAGCCCGGCCCGCCGTCTCGGGCGGCGGCACCGTTTTGTTCTGTGCATGCGTGTGTGTCTTCGCTCCTGTTCACCATCTGCTTTTGGTCTTTCCCACCGCACAGCGCAGCTCCGGAGTCCTGCCCCCTAGACCCTGAGGACTAGGTATGCGACCCACCCCACTGTGTACATGACACAGCCTGTGCCGCCTCGGGGCTCCACGTCACGGGCGGCCTCGCCTTCCCTTCTTGGTCCTGCGCACGCAGAGTGCCGCCCTCGCAGGGAAGGAGCTGCTGACCCCCATCCCCGACGCCGGTACCCCAGGGACCAGCGGCCCCCCAATTCCGGCTGGGTGTGAGACACCTGAGGGTTTCCTTTCTGCTCACCCCTCTTCCCCGGGGCCCACCTCCCCGACTCTCAGAGCCCTGAAAGCATTATCGCCCAGCACGTTTCTTGGAAATAAGCAGTTGATGCTGCTTAACCCCAGAGCCTCTGCCGCCAGAGGGTGTGGTTGGCTGGCCTAGCCTGCGGCCGGCCCCCCACATTTGTGAGCGTCCCCCCTCAAACGTGAGCACAGCCAACCTCGGCCCCGCCCTGCAGAGTTGGTCGGCCCTGCTCAGGAGGTGGTCCAGGCACAGCGTGAGAAGTGGGGCGTCCATGCGGGCTGCAGGGGAGCCCTCCGACCCCTGGGCCTCATCTGGCAGGGGCGGGTGGGGGCTCTGCGGCTCGGAGTCCCGAGTTACGTCTTCCTCCTGCGCTGTGGGCAGCCTGGCCCTGCCTGTCCACGAGCGTCTCCCTGCGCGGATGGAGCCGGCCGTGGGCGGGGAGGGCGGGCAGGGGGAGATGCAGAGAGGGGAGCATGGGGGGACAGAGCCTGGGGCACTGGCTGTTGTGCACCTTCTGCCAGTGGGCGCCCCGCTCGGCGCTCTCCCCTGACCTCACCCAGTCCGCAAGCTCAGGCAGGAGCCGGGAGTGGAGCCCAGCCATCCTGACGGCAGGTTAGGCAGCCTGGGGAGTGAACAGAGGGGCAGTGGTGGGTGGGATGCAGAGTGCAAAGGAGAGAGAAGAGCCGCAGGGGCCTGAGGGGAGGGTGAGGAGTTTAGGGGTGACACCTATGGGACCCCCAGTTTCTCGGCTAGTGCCTCCTGAGGTGGATGGCACCGGCGGATAGCAAGCCTCGGCGGCTGCTCAGATCAAGAAGATGAAGAGCGGCAGGTGTGGGGACGGGGTGCTGAAGCCATGGCACTGCCCCCCCCCCATGTCTCTAGCACCCTGCTGGGCAGCCAGTCACTTCCTGCCCGCCCCCAGCAGACACTCGGGGTGCAAACACTTCTTCCCATCGGAGGAAAGCTCAGCTGGGCCCAGTTTCTTTCTCGTCCAGCATAGCACGTGGGCCGACTTCAAAACAAGGCACTAAAGTGGGTCCCAGGGCAAGTCCCAGGGCAAGTCCACAAAGCGAGAAACAGCCTGCGTGTCCCTCTGTCATGGGGCGCAGAGGCCCCGTGGGGCAGGGGCGCCCACCTCCCGCGCTGTGGCCGCGCACGCAGAGTTTCAGGTGACACGCATCCTGCCAGCCTCCACGCCGAGCTCCCGGCTGCCCTGCTGGAGACCCAGGGACCTGGCCGAGGTCTGGCCCTGTGACCTTGCTCTCTCTCCTCAGGCACCTGGCAGGCCGATGACAACGCGCTCAGTCGTCGGCACCCTCGGCGTCGGCGCCGGTCGTCCAGCAGCCTGGAGGATGCCGAGAGCGGGCGCTGCGTGTGGGGGCCTCTGGCCGTCTGAGAGCCCGCCCCAGGCCAGAGCCTCCTCCGGTCCCCGCATCCCATCCTGGACTCACTGGACCATGGCCTCCTGGGCATCCTCAGCGGGACACGTGGAGACTTTTACACCCACGTGCGAGCTGGGCGTGGAGGCCAGCCTGCTCCTCCCGGCCCCCAGCCTTCCATCACCAGGACCCCGGCCCTCTCCGAAGGGGCTGGACGCCTCCTTCCTCCTCAGAGACCCTCTGGAACGTTCCCACTGTATCTTGATCTTCAGGGGAGCCACGCCCACAGGCTGGCGTCTCGAGCATCTCTCTTCTCCGTGGCGGGTAGACCAGAAGGCTCGGAGTCTTAGCGGCTGCGTTGCAGGCGTTTTTAGGTGTCAGGGACAGCAACTCCAATTTGAAACCTCCAGTTCGGGGTGGATTTGAGGGAGACACGTGAGAAGGCAAAGCCATGTTGCACTGTATGCGGAGTTTCCTTCAAGGACAAGAGAAATGGTACCAGCCCACCAGACGGTTGGTTGAAAAGACAGTTCTTGCTTCCAGCAGGCGAGCTGGTCTAAGCCTCATGTCTTGCTTAGAGAGGAGGCCTTGGACCTGAGACATGCCCCCCCCCCCCCCAGTTACATGACCGCCCTCGGGAGGGTCTTAGATCAGGTACATCCGGGAAGGCCTGGGACTCCACCCTAAGGTGACATTTCAAAACACATTTGTGACCCCCTCTCTCCGGTGCGTGGAGCTGTCATCACGCTGGCCCTGTCCAGTGGTATTCTTACCCGTTTCCCGTCTCCACCCCGGTTTGTTCATAGTTGAAGAAACAGGCTGAGAGGGGGGTGGGCCAGGGACCCTCCAGCTGGTACCCAGGACTCCCCAAGGAAGCGGTACGGAGCGCTGAGCTGGGGGCCGGCAGTGGGCTCGCGCTGGTGGCAGGAGGCAGGGCCTTCACCCCTGGGGAGTCTCCCCGCGCCATGTTCCCCCCCCCACCCCCACCCCCGCCTTCCAGTCCTCCTGAGCCTGAGAGGGGCAAGGGGAGGGACTGCCTTCCACAGGCTCATTAGAGACTTAGAGTGTTCCAGTCACGTGCCCACCCCCCCTCAGCCCAAACGCTGGCGAGAGCAAGGCTGCCTGGACCGTGAGTGCTGGGTGTCCCCCTCCCGGCGCTGGCTCTGCTGAGTCCTCGGCTCTCGGACAGACGCTCTGTCTGTTGGCCTTTGGAAAAGGGGGTTGAGCGCGGGCTTGGGAGGCAGAGCTGAAAACAGCAATGTGTGAGGCGGAGACGTGGAGCCAGGCTGTGCCCGTCCGATGGCCTGTCTTAGGATTTGGAACTGCCACCCGGAAGAGCTGCTCAGGGCCCTTGCCAAGCCTCCCAGGGAGCCCCGTGCCCTCGCTCGGCACCCTTCCGGCGGCCTTTTGCACGGCCGGGTGAGCAGGGCCCTCCCGCCGCCCAGTGGCTGTGGCTCACGCTCTGCCTGGTCGGGGAACCTGCTGTTCTGACAGGTGTGGCGTGAGCCAAGCCGGAATCGAAGCTTCTGGAGGGAGTTCCCACGTCCGCCCTCTCCGGAATCCTGCCGTGGGCTCCACTGGTTCAGGCCCCACTCCGTGTCCTTCCCTCCCCCCGGCATTCTTCCAGCCCCACCCCTTTCCTATTGGAGATCTGAGCAATAACCCCACTCCCTGAGTTCCTCCCAGTTTGAGCCCCAGAAACGCCAGGGAAGGGGGCTTCCCTCAGCCTCGGGTAGAGGCGCACAGACCCACCTGCTCTCCCGGCAGGTAGCCTTCACGGTGTGGTGTTACCTGAGATGAAGGAGCCGCAGGTCAACAGCAGCCACGGGGGGCCAGGAACCCTAAGAGGAAGCCGTCACCGACACCCTTCCTGGGGGGTCCGTGTCCTCTCCCAGGGGGAGAGGCTCAGAAAGGTTCTTCTAAGCCTTGGTTCCCTACCCAAGACCTCTGGGCTACAGGATGGCCCCTCAGTCCTTGTTTTCCAGTCACTTCCTGTCTTCTGCCCCCTCCCTCCCCCCCCCCCTTGTTCTCATTCAGATGTTGGCAAGCAGAGATATCCCCCCCAGAGGCTAGTCCTCAGCCTGAGAGGGGACAAGGCCACTGCCCCCGAGAGAATGGACGGGCATAGGCTAACTGGGGGCCGGTCGCTCCTTCCTACCACAGGGGTCTGAGCTCCCCACGGCCTCCAGGTAGTGTGATCCAGGCCTCCTGGCAGAGCCTTTTCCCATCCCACCAGAGTTCACGCCCACACCGGGCACCTCTTGGGCACAGACCCACACACTTGAAGCCATCTCACCCGGAGAGAGCTAGGGTCCTGTCCGCCCGACCCTGGCCCCCTCGCTGCTCACCTTGCTTTAGGGTCTGCACCCCGGCTGTGTGCAGGGGTGTCTGTACGGTTGTGCCATCCGTGTACCCCTCATCCCTGGAGTTACGCTCATGGGTACAGGACAGTGGGGACGTCGGGATGCAGTGTTCATGGGCTGCTGCATGATTCTTAAAACGGAATAAAGCTGTTTACAAGGAAGGAGAGAGAGTTCCTGTCTGACTCTCTCCCGCCCCTTTACCTCTCTCTCGGGAGAATGTGGAGGTGAGGCGAGGGCAAGGGGCAGGGGAGGCCATGCCCCTGGGAGGAGTGGATGTGCCATCCCCTGGGCACCGGCTTCCCTCCGCAGCCCTCCAGCGCCTGGGCAGAGGCCTGAGCCAGGGGCCCTCAGCCCCACCCTTGCCCTTAAACCCGAGAACTCCCAACACTGCAGCTCCTCCATAATTGAAGAGCAGGGAAGCTGGTGACAGGAGGGAGGCGGGGCGGGGAGGGAGGCCCACAGTCCCTGTCACTTAAAGGGGGTGGAATTGTTGGGTTAAATGGCCCGGCTGGGAGAACTTGGGAAGACCGTGGCTTCTCTGAGTTGTACCCGCTGGGTCTGCCTCCTCAGATATCTGGGAAGGAGGGAGGATTTCCGCAGAAGCCTCTGGAATGTCAGGGGTGGGGAGGCAGCCGCTTACCGGGAACGGGAGGGATGACCCTACCCGCCTTGGTGCGTCCGCGATCCGGGCGGGCCACGGCTGCGGACCTGGGTGGCAGGTGGCATCGGAGAGTCGGACCTGCCCGCGGGCACCAGAGCCGACACGGGACCGGGAGAGAGGAACAGGCCGCGGAACGCGAGGCAGTGCCACTCGCAGCCCGGAGGAGAGGCCGCGGGACCCCAGCCCACGGTTCCCGAGTCGGAGCCCGCTCTGGGCATTGCCCCGCGCCCCGGGCTGCGTCCCCGGAGCCGTAGAGGCCTCGGTGCGGCCGGGACAGGAGGGGGCAGGGCGGGAGTGCGGGTCCTGGGGGGAACGGCTCCCCTGGGTGCCCGCGTCGGCAGGAGCGCGGAGCCGCGCGCTTCTCCGAAACTTGCGCGCGCCCCTCGGGCGGGAATGCGAGGCGCGGGCCGCGGGCGGGTAGGGGGCTGGGTGGCGCGGGAGAGGGAGGCAGAAGGAGGGAGTTCCAAGAGAGTTACCGCCGGAGAGAGTGGCAAGAGCCCGCGGTCACCTTGGAGACGCGCTGACCAATGGCAGCAGCGAAAGCTGTTTATGGGGGCGGGGCGTCGCCATGGCAGCAGGAGAAGCCTTTGGAGCGGCTACTTAATGCGGGTCCCGGGCCGCGGGCGCTCAGAGAGGCGCCTTCAGGCTGCGGGGAGGACGAGGGGTGCTGGCGGGGCCCTCAAGCTGAGGGCAGAGAGCCGCGGGGGTGGTGGTAACTTCTTCCAGAACCTTCCTTTAGCCCGGGCTGCGCTCTGAGCCAGGTAAGGGACTGAGAGGTCTGCGGGCCGCGGAAGGTGGGCGGCAGCGCGCTCTCCCGTGCGTCCCGCAGCCAGTGGTGGGCCTGGAAACTGACCTCTGCGGCGTTGGGGTACCTGACTTTCCGCCCCGATCCCTTCCTTCCCCTGATCTCCCATCTTTTCAAAGATCAGACGACCTTCCCGGGCCCCCGCCCTGTCGTCCTGCCCTCGCGGGCTCCCTCGCCCCTTCCCCTGAGTTGGGGTGGGGGTGTCTGACTTCCCGCTCTTGGGGAGAACGGGACCGACTGGAATGCTCCTACCCTCTCCCTTCACTTGGCTAATAGCGTCTCCTCTTCAACCTCGAAGAGGAAATGAAGCGAGGCGGTCCCTGCGGGGGTCGGTCCTGTTTCCCAGACCTCAGCCCTAACACACCCTCGCAGCTGCGGGACGACTTTAGAGGAATCCCCCCCCACGCCCCTGCCCCCGGGGTGGGGAAAGCGCTCAGCTCCCGCCGCGGTCCCCGCAGGCCCCACGTTCGCATTCGGAGGAGGCGACCCCCAGGTCGCGGGATGGAAGCGCGCGTCCGGGAGGCGGTGTAACTGGAGCCGCGGGAGTCAGCGGGCCGGAGAGCGCGGCGGGCCACCGAGGCTCAGCCGTGGGTGCTGACCGCCCCTTCGGAGATCCCCGCAGACATGGCGGAGAGCTGGCTGCGCCTCTCGGGCGCAGGGGCGGCGGAGGAGGCGGGGCCGGAGGGCGGCCTGGAGGAGCCCGACGCCCTGGATGACAGCCTGACCAGCCTGCAGTGGCTGCAGGAGTTCTCCATTCTCAACGCCAAGGCGCCCACCCTGCCCCCGGGGGGCACCGACCCCCACGGCTACCATCAGGTGCCGGGCTCGGCGGCGCCGGGGTCCCCCCTGGCGGCGGACCCCGCCTGCCTGGGGCAGCCGCACACGCCGGGCAAGCCCACCTCTTCGAGCACGTCCGGGAGCTCGCCCTCGGGGCTACAGGCTCCGCCCCCCGACGACGTGGACTACACCACCAACCCGAGCGTGAAGCCGCCCTACTCATACGCCACGCTCATCTGCATGGCCATGCAGGCCAGCAAGGCCACCAAGATCACCCTGTCGGCCATCTACAAGTGGATCACAGACAACTTCTGCTACTTCCGCCACGCTGATCCCACCTGGCAGGTAGGGGAGGTGTGGGTTTCGGCTGCTCCTTCCCAGCCTCCTCCCGTGCCCCCTCCTCCTCCATTCTTGCAGGGACTCACTCAGATCCGGGTCAAGTAGCCAGGGCCCACGGGAGGGAGGCCCTGGAGGGAGGCCCTGGGGGAGCCCAGTGCTTGGAAATGCCTCTCTTTTGACATAGAGAGGGAGGCTGTTCAGAGGGCTTTAGGGGTGAGGATGCTGAGTTCAAAGGGCAAACACTTGTCACCCATCCAAGGGGCTCAGCCCAAAGACCAGGGCCAGACTTTGCCATGGACACAGCCCCCTGGGGGAAGGTGGTGATGGACGAGGGGCACATTTTTGTCCCAAGTCCGAGAATTCCTAGACACTGCCCTGCCCAGGGACAGTGTTCAGGACCTGGCTCAGAAGTGGAAGCTGGAGCATCGGCCCTCGCTCTGCCTCCTGCCTGGTTGCAGTTGGCTTGGGGGGCAGGGGGTCGAGTGCTGTGGGGTGTGAAGGCAGCTGTGTCTGAGAGCGGGTATGGGGCCTTCCTACAGCTGCTGCCCCAGCCCCCACTCCAGCCGCTCCCCAGTTTCCTGTCTCCACTCCTCCCCCTCCTCTCAGTCAAGCTCCCTGGAGAGACAATTACCTGAGCCAGGTGCTTCCCACAGGGGCTCTGCCTCCAGCTCTGGCTTCAGAGCAGCCCAGGGCCAGGCCGCCATGTAAACACCCAGCCTTGCCAAGGGGCACTACCCACCCGTCCGCCCCGCTCTCCAGGCCCCCGACCCCGTCCCCATCCTGGTTTGGATAAGACGACGCAACTAGGAATGAATGCGGCAGCATGGTGATCTGAGGCGGGGCAGGCATTGCCCTGAGAGTCCGGGATCAGGGCCTGGTTGGGGACAGAGGCCCTGAGGACACCCAGACTCTCCCCTGGGGCGCCCGCAGCAGCAGGCCGCACATCACAGTCCCCGATACTCTTCACTTGCTTGGGCCCTGGCCGGGGCGAGGCCCTCGGCAGCCTTGGCGAGAAGGCAGAGACCCCCCACCACCCCCCCAAGCCTGCGGAGCCCCGACTGCGGGAAGTGGGCCCAGGAATGAGCGCTATGCTCTTTGCTGGGTAATAATCAACTGAGGCCAAACAGCCTGGTGGGAGGAGGGGCGGGGGGCAAGGCCCTGGCCAGCGGCTGGCTCAACAAAGGAAAGCCATCGGCTCCTACCACACCTCATCCCCACACACACTCCTGTGCACGCAGGCGCGTGGACACACACCCCCTCACACCTCAGGTCACCCAGGGCCGCCCACCCCAACCCTCCCGCTCCACAAACAGAGGGCCGGCCAGGCCAGGCCCTGGGGGAGCTGAGGCGTTTGGCCAGAGGCTGTAAGCGGTGGGGTGAGGGGGGGGCGGGCAGGACAGGGTGGCACTGAAACCACCCTGTGGCTCAGGCTCGGATGACTGAGCAGGCAGATATCCCGGCAACAGGGAATAAAAGCCCCCGACGGCACTCCTGGCTCCGGGGGCCCTGTGGCTGGTGTCCCAGAGCCGCCTCCCCCTCCCCCACCGGGAGAAGAGGGGAGGAGACAGGCGGGAGCACAGGCAGCCACTGACCCTTCCTCCCCGCTCAGCATCCTCCTCCCTCCTCTGTCCTGTGCCCAGAATTCCATCCGCCACAACCTGTCCCTGAACAAGTGTTTCATCAAAGTGCCGCGGGAGAAGGACGAGCCGGGCAAGGGCGGCTTCTGGCGCATCGACCCCCAGTACGCCGAGCGCCTGCTGAGCGGGGCCTTCAAGAAGCGGCGGCTGACCCCGGTCCACATCCACCCGGCCTTCGCCCGCCAGGCCGAGCAGAAGCCCAGCGCCGCGCCGTGGGCCGGGCCCCTGGCCGTGAACACCGAGGCCCAGCAGCTGCTGCGGGAGTTCGAGGAGGCCACCGGGGAGGTGGGTTGGGGTGCGGGCGAGGGCAGGCTCGGGCACAAGCGCAAACAGCCGCTGCCCAAGCGGGTGGCCAAGGCGCCCCGGCCCCCCAGCACCCTGCTGCTGACCCCGGAGGAGCAGGGCGAGCTGGAGCCCCTCAAAGGCAACTTTGACTGGGAGGCGGTCTTCCACTCCGGCGCCCTGGGCGGGGAGCTGGGCGCCCTGGAGGCCCTGGAGCTGAGCCCCCCGCTGAGCCCCGCCTCGCACGGGGACGTGGACCTCACCGTCCACGGCCACCACATCGACTGCCCCTCGACGTGGGGGCCCTCGGTGGAGCAGGCTGCCGACAGCCTGGACTTCGACGAGACCTTCCTGGCCACGTCCTTCCTGCAGCACCCGTGGGACGAGAGCGGCAGCGGCTGCCTGCCCCCCGAGCCCCTCTTCGAGGCCGGGGACGCCACCCTCGCTGCCGACCTGCAAGACTGGGCCAGTGTGGGTGCCTTCTTGTAAGAGGCCGGGCCCCGCCCCCGCCTGCGGACAGCACCCAAGTCAGGGCCCAGACTGCCCCCCAACACAGGCCCGTGGAACCCCACTGCCCAGACAGGGGCTGGGCCACGTCTCCCGAGCTGGCACCACGGGGCCACACATCCCCCAGCCTGGGCTGCCCTCGGATTCCAGCCCCGGAGGCTGAGAACTGGGGCTCAGGACCAGTGACTCGCTGCCTCCCCTCCCGGCCCCCATACACACAGTGTTTCATTGACCCTCAGCTGCCCTGCCCCAGGGACCAGCTAATAGCCCTGCGCTGTGAGCACTGCGGCCTGAGGGGCCCTGGCCGGGCTGGGGCCGGGGAGCCAGAGAACAGGGCCCACCTGGGCACTTTGGCTTCAAAAGGTTCTCCTTCCTCCATCCTCCATCCTCCCCCTCTCCCCTCCGCAAGGTCTCTATCCAGAAAAAATTCCCAGGTACAGCAAATGCTAATTAGGTGACTGCAAATTAACCCCCGGAGGCCTCTCCGGGCAAAGCCTCCCAGGGCCGGGCGGGCAGTAGGCAGTGGAGCTGGGAGGGGCAGAGAGGAGAGAGGTGAGGTCCGGGCACCCATGGGGCAGGGAGGCTTCCTAAGGCCTCCGGAGTCTTCTCCTGGCCCATCTCCACCGGGGGCAGGGGCGAGGTGGGAAACCCCTAATTTTTGAGCCCGACAGGAGGCTGACAGTAGTGAGGAGTTGGGGTTCTGGGGAGTTGGGGGCAGGGGTAGCCAAGCTGCAGGGGGGAGGGAAAGACAGACTAACGTAGTGAGTGTCACTATAGCTGAGGTTTAACCGGGAGGGATAGCAAACTAGTGGTGATTGAGAAAGAAAGACCTCCTGCCTCCAACGCCAGCTGCGCGGGCTGCAGATACCGCCTCTTACAGACAACCACACACCACCAATTCCTGCGTGGAAAGGTGGGAGCCAGGTCACAGCAGCGTCTTTGTTTAGGAGACAATGACAATGTACAGTAATTATCCTGAGAGATTCATCCCCATCATAATGTAAGGGGAGCCTGCTCATGGCTCTGTCCCAGATCCCTCTGGGGAGTAAAGATTCAAGAAGTCAGACCAGCCTGGGTACCTGGTTCTCCTTTTTCCCCTTGGCTCGTCTAATCCATCTCTGCCTGGGGTGCCATTGGTGACCGGGATGCCACAGGCAATCACTGAGCAGGCCTCCTGGGCATCTTCACAGGTTGTGGGTTCTGAGAAGGAAACTGTCACCACACACAGAAGGGTGGGAAGTGATACAAACCAGAACATGGTCCTCACCTGGTAGTGGAGAGAGTGAGGGAAAGAATTGCATCTCATCCCATGTAGCCAACATCCGCACCACCTCTGGTGTGCTGGACCCTGTGCTCGGGACACAGACACACCAGCTTTGACTCTGAGTTTCTCCCAGGCTACTAAGGAGACAGACAACTTACACATTAACTACTGTAATGTGTAATACTCAGGAAACTATAATATGGTTTCATGTACATAATGTACTGGCTGAGCTCTCAAGGCCTCTACAAAACCATATACGTTTTTCCAAATGAATTAGAATTCTTAATCCTTAGAAAACTTAACTTGTAGTGACATCTAAAAGC